ACCAATTTTCTCCCCCAAATTATATATGGAAATTGAACATGAGCCCAGTCAAAATTCCAATGACATTTTTTTGGGAAGATCTGACAAAATGATTCCAAAGACTGGAAGCATAAGTGTCAACAAATATCAAGAAAATTTGAAAATAACAAGTAATAAGACTTGGAGTTTGGCCATATCAGATATGTAAGTATCAGTTTTTATATATTTCATCAATTTACAAAAATTAAAATGATACTGGAAGATTAATAAAGAGACTATAAAAACTACTACAGGTAAGAATTTAGGGGGAATTATAAATAAGTGGGAAAGGAATATGTTAGTAAACACATGTATTGGAACCACTTATAAAAAATGTACAGTGACCAGTCTATTTTATATCTTACACTAAAATAAATACTGTATGACTTTTTAAGTGAAAAACTAGAAAGCAGTAAAGTGACAGAAGTCTGTAGTTGAATATTTACATACTGCTATACTTTTGGGGTAGGGAATGTCTTAGTAGAAATCATAAACTAAAAGAAAAACAGATTTGGTGATAAAATATTTGATTCATCAAAAACATAAAAAGCTAATTTCAAACTGGCAAAATGCTTCCAATATACGTAAACAATAAAAATATGAATATATAAGTAGCTTGTCTAGATCAATAAGAGAAAAAATGAACATACATAAGAAAAAAAGATAGAGCTAATGACAAACAGGCCAATTTACAAAAGAAAGGACAAATTTTCACCTATCAAATTGTCAGAGATGAAAAGACAGTGATTATGTTTGACAATGGTACAAGAAATGGACACTCTGGACCATGACATGCACAATTACTCTTGAGGGAAACTTGGCAGTATGTATGAAAAGCCTTAAAAACATGTGTATCTTTCCCTTTCTATGAGGTACCTAAACTAGGCAAATTCATAGAGATAGAAAGTGGAACAGACATTACCAGAGGCAAAGGGAGGAGGAATGGGAGTTACTATTGAACGAATACAGATTTTCTGTTTGGGATGATGGAAACATTCAGGAAATGAATAATAGTGAGGATTGTACAACACTGTGAATATAACTTAATGCCACTGAATTCTGTATTTAAAAATGATTAAAATGGCAAACTTTATGTTACATATGTTACCACAACTTTAAAAATGTTTTTCATTGCGTAACTATAAACATTTATTAAACCATTTTTCTATTATTGAATATTTAGTTTTGCCCAAATTTTTAACAATTAAAAAAATATGATTAAAAAGTATATCCTTAGACCCAGTATTTTTGTTAGTATTTGTCCTATGATAATAATGAAGAATATGGGTAAAGATATGTATTTTCCTCCTGACACTGTTTATAATAATAAAGAGTGGGAAATGTAAATAACAATTATATAGCATCGCTCAAATAAATGATTGTACACAGTAGAAAATTAGGCAGCCATTAAAAAATATACTATAGACAAACATCTATTGATAATAAGGGAAAATAATTAAAAATAGTATGTATGTAAACATTAAAGGAAGTAAACGTTTGTTCACGCATAGGAAAGTACCTGGAAAAAATATATGAAGTGTTGCCTGCAGTATTACCACTGAGTAAATGGGATTTGTGACTTATTTATGCTCTTTTTCTTACTTGTTAGTATTTTTCTGCAATAAGCATGAACTCTTTGGGAAAAAAAAACTAATGAAAGAAACTTAGTTTTGAAGAAATCATTTAAAAACGCTCCTAGTTATTTTTCCCTTCTCAGAGGTAACACTGTGCTTTCACTTACTGTATAAAGCGCAACCCCCCCACCAAGAAAACACCAACCTGACAGATTGTTTATTATTATCGGACAGACCAGCAGGTATTTCTTTCCTTGAAGCAAATAATTATAAATTCGGTTATATTAAGAAATCCCTGGGGCACCTAGGTGGCTCAGCTGGTTAACTATCATGGCTTAAGAGTTCGAGCGCCACATCAGGCTCTCTGCTGACTGCTCAGAGGCTCTAGGCTTCGGATTCCGTGTCTCCCTCTCTCTCTGCTCCTCCCCTGCTCATGCCCTCTGCTGACTGCTCAGAGGCTCTAGGCTTCGGATTCCGTGTCTCCCTCTCTCTCTGCTCCTCCCCTGCTCATGCTCTGTCTGTTTGTCTGTCTGTCTCTCTCTCTCAAAAATAAATACACATTTAAAAAAATTAAAAAATTTAAAAAAATCAATTTGGGCTTTGGTTTGCTTCTAACCTGTCCATTATAGGTATATGTGCAAAGTCTCTAATGAAAATACTTTCTACTTTTGCTAACGAGGTGGGTTTCCTATTACAAATGAGGGAGATGCTGTCACAGAGGAGTAAGGCTACATGTGAAGCATGTCAGACATTCAAGCGTCTGAACGGAACCTAGTAAAATGAGAGCAAGAAAGCTGTCATGTCTTATATAGTATCCGAAACGCATATGCAGCCCTAGAAGAAATAACACTATGAGTGCAGAGGTATATGGCAAACAGATCCAGGCCCAAAGGCATTTTTGTTTGGGTGTCCCATACAGTAGTTGTAAATCTGGAACAGGAAACTTGAAATCATTAAGATCACATATTTATAATATCATGTTCAATTAGGTTAGAAAAGTGCAATTTCTGTCATCATGTCATAAAAAGATGTGTTTTTCTCTCAGATCTCTTATAAAGAAAAGTCCTCTCTATTGTTACAGATAGGGCTGTTTTCAATCAGTTCCAAGGAGCAATTCAATTACTAGATGGTTTAGTGCAGTAACTGACTCCAGACTAATTTAATTTGTTTAGGTCTCTAAAGATCAATTGATCTGATTTGACCCATCCCCAAAGGCTGTTTAGGGAAAATTCAGACTTAAATACCTGGAAATGAAATCCAAAACCTTGGCCAATTTCACACTAGTTAGGTCATCTTGCAAACTTTCAGCTGGTCACAGAAAAGGCTCTTTTCACCTTCAGACCATTGAAAGCTACTCAGCTTCACATTCATGGGAGTGTTCCCCACATCAGGATGCTTATTCAATAAGTGGGAAATGTGCTGCATGTATTATTAAATCTGCTGTTCTAAAGGGCAGTCAGTCTCGGGACTCCCATCTCGTGAGTGCACGTGCAACTAGAAGCTATTTTTACTCTAGGAGCGGTTTATTAAGACTAGTAAAGTACACTTGGATGGGGCCAAAAAATAATAATTATAATTATTTCCTATTGGTAGACTTATAAAGTATTTCATAAATGTTATCTTACTTGGTTCTCATAATACACCTTTGAGGCGGGCAGGGTTATTGTTCCCACAGGAAACAGACTCAGAGGCTAGACTTCCCCAGGATCGCTGAGCCAGTAAGGCAGAACTAGGACTCTGATATCAGAGTTTGTTACCCCGTGTATCATACCCACCCCTTGATTCGAGACAGAAGATAGGGCACACACTACAAAAACACACCACTACCGCCTCACTGGGCCACTGTCTTCATTCTTACCTGCTACCTGACTGAAACAGACAAGTTGACTTATAATCCCACCTGTACATATTTAGTTGGCATTGGTGCATCTGGCTCTCCATAAACAGATGAAAAAGGTCAAGCTTGAATGAGAGCAGCCCTTGTAAATGGACTCCTTTGTCACCCACACTGCTGATGCTACATCCTCACTGACTTTGGTCTCAAGGTCTGGCTGCCTGCCTTTGTCCCACCTAATTGGAGAGCTACCCACTTGGAGTCTCTCTGCAGTTTGCAATGGATTTTCAACCCCAAGCTCAAGTTTCTTTCCCTGATCTCAGCACCCCAACCACTTGTCAAGCTCCCCAACCACTTAATTTCTCCTTTTACTCAAATCCCACAGCACCTGCCCCACTTTCAGCCTCTTCTGCTGGCTTCTCTGCCACCCCACTGAGCCTCTATGTCGGTTCCTCCAACTTAACCCCCCCCCCCCCGCCCAAGCTCTGCCACTTGGGAAGGCTGAGGGAAGGATCACATAGATGTGGCTAAAACATGTAGTTATCTGTTGTAAAAATCAGCAATTGCCAGGACAAGTTGGAAAGAAGTGCGGGGGTCAGGAGATGTGACCGTGTGATAGGGAACACAGAGCATGACAGAAATGTGTAGCAGTTAGTAGGGAAATCACACAAAGATTTGGAGGTAAAATAAACCTGAGGACTGGTGCCAGGGTACACCAGCTGTCAAATAAAGACTTTGGGCCACATAAAAGAATAAGTTCAGAAGATAAATAAAGTCTAAAGATCTAATGTGTAACATGGTGACTATTTATTGTAGAATTGAAATCTGCAAAGAGAGAACTTAAATGTCCTCACACGCACACAAAAAGTACAGAATGTTACATAGTAGGTGTAAGAGATATAAATAATCAGGTTGAAAAATCTTCTCCCTAAAAAAAAAATACATTTTTTGACATTCCTACGGGTGAGCTATGGATCTCATTATAGTCACCGCTCGTGACAGAGATGGTCTCGCGAAGTGTGAACCATTTCAATTAAGTAAAAAGTGAAGTTACAGACACATGGTTGTCCCTAATCTTCTTAAAGGTCCTGAGCCTGATGTTTCCTACAACATATAAGCAGTCTACACCACAGGTAAAATATGTGCCTTGAATTAAATTAGATCTCCTTGCCTCAACATTCTGAACTATGCATATTCTTCATGCTAGCAAATATGTCCACTTCAGAAGGCAAAGGCTATCCAGATTCCATTTCTCTGCAGATTGCCACTGGAGACACGAAGCTTACTATCATCAAAAGGATTGGGTCTTTGATAATGAAGAAACCCTATTTTTTACAGTTGAGTAAATGTCCCAACCATAAAAACCGCCTCCTTGGAAATAGCACAGAACAGATGCAGATACAGACGCGGTCAAAGCTTAAGCAGCTGCATAGCTAAGGGAAAGCGGAGTGGGGAATCGGAGACTATCTACAGTAAGGTTATGGTTCTCTGGCGTTGAAAGGAGTGTGTCCTTACAAACTGGCTCTTTGCTTTATCTTATCCGGACAAAAAAGTAAACAGAAAATTCTCATTACCTCTCAATGTCAGTGAGCCTGGAGGAGTCCCGGAATCCTTTGGCAAAAGGGTTGCTATCTATTTTCAGCTTGGTTATCTGGAAAGGAATGAATGGGCAACAAGACAATATCATTTCCGAGGTCAAGGAAGTAAAATCAGAAATAAAGAGTTTGTTCATTTTCCCTGCCACCCCAGGAATGCTTAACGTCTCTCTGGATTGTGAGAAGGGTGGAAAGTGACAGAGAAGTTCACGGGAGGGATGGGTCACAGCCAAATGGGACAGCTGATCAGGGAAGTCCTCAGAGAGGCGGGATTTGAAGACCAGCTGGCCCTAGAGAACCTAGAGATCAGGCTGATGGTCAATGTCTAGAGACAAACCGTGGGGTGGTGCTTTGTGAACGTTGTGACTGCTCTGCAAAGTATTTAAGAGGGCAGTGAGGGACGGACTTGCACTCAATGCTGTCTAGGCCAGCATTGGTGGATAATGGGGAATAAACACAAAAATGTGGCCTCAGGCTGACTTGGCACCATCATTTGTGAGTCCTATCGGCACATACATATACTATAGTGGGTAAAAAGATAAAATGGCCAATAATAGCTTCATGTTCAATACCATATTGAAATCCATGACATAAATACAGGCTATAAAGCTTTCAGAGTATAATTTACCCCTGCTCCCCTTTCCATCTGACTAAATGAGAATAAGTCTTTTGTTAGCCTCCCATACAGTACTATTTATAGACTCTGTGCTTATACAGAAAAAAAAATTCCCTAATAAGAATCATAGTCTGAAGTATTGAGTATCTACAATGTGCTAGTCACAATTCCCACAGAATTAATATTAATGTAAAAAGATCCATTAAGTCATATGCACTGTCCATCCAAAGAAACAGACTACCAGGTTCTGAAGAAAAAAAATTAAGGAAACACGGAGTAAAAGATACATGACTTCATGATTAGAGCCGAAGAAAAGAACCCAGGAGGACCGAGACACAGCTAATCGGTATCTGAATTAGAACCAGACACCTTTAAACAGAGTCACGGGTCATTAGTATCAAAACAAGAGCCCACATTAATCTTTATTTATTTTTTTAAAAATTTTTAATATTTTTTATTTATTTCTGAATGAGAGAGACAGAGTGAGCAGGGAAGGGCCAGAGAGAGAGAGGGCGATACAGAATCTGAAGTGGGCTCCAGACTCTGAGTTGTCAGCACAGAGCCTGATGCGGGGCTCAAACCCACAAACTGTGAGATCATGACCTGAGCCGAAGTCGGCCGCTTAACCACCTGAGCCACCCAGGCACCCCCCACATGAATCTTTAGAGAGAGATGCACAAAACAGTCTTAACTTGGAGAAAAAGTTTTGACTGAGGTACATCCTCTTCGTAAGCACTAAACAATCAAACTAGATAGCCTGAAATATACTTTCACCGAAATGCAACTTTTCCTCTGATCAGAAGGTATCTGCTGTTCATTTTAAATAACACCTAAAGAATTGCTTTTTTCCATTACAAAAGGGAGGCATTTTTTTTTCCATTTTGAGTTTTCTAAATATGAACTAACCAATGTACAAGCTGCAAAGAAGTTGTTTGCCTCCTGTAAGCTAGAACTTCCCGTGCTATCCTATCCAGACACTGCACTTCTCTTCCATGAACACTGGCAAGATGTAAGATTATTAAGCCTTCAGAGTACTTCACAATATCTCACAGCCCCCCCAAAATTTACTAATTTCCTTTTCAGCTTAGTTAATGGACATGATAAACAAGGAAGAAAATAAGTCAGAAAACTGTTCTTAGTGAATCACAGCAGCTAATTTAAGTTTGCATATAAAGAAATACCCAAAAACCTCTAAGGTTGCCTGTAAACTGTGGCCACCCAGGGTTCACAGAGAACTTTCTCTGACTCTCTGCCACCACTTCCATAGCCATGGATTTCTAAAGGGTCAAGTCTATTTCAGCCATTCTTTCGGATCAGGTTTTAGGTTTTGGGTTTTTGTTTTTTGTTTTTTTTTTTTGAGAAAGAGATAGAGATTGTACAAGCGAGTGAGAGGAAGAGAGAGAGAACCCCAAAAGGGGCAGAGAGAGAGAGGAAGAGAGAAAGGGAGTTGTGGGGATCACCCTGAAGCAGGGCTCGTGTTCACCAACCCGATGCGAGGCTGGAATTCATGAACCATGAGATCATGACCTGAGCCGAAGTCAGATGCTTAACCGACTGAACCACCCAGGCGCCCCAGGATTCAATTTTCAAGGTCAATTTTCAGGATGAAGGAGAAAGTTTTTATTTGTTTGAAATAAACTGTAAACATCTCTAAAGCACAAGCAAGTCCCATGTTCTAAAAACACCAACAAGATTTTTAAATCCTCAGACAGGACCTGTGTCTCTTTCTACTGAATAACGGTAAGTTAAAGTGCTTTCTATTTCTAAAGTGCCTTATAGTTCATGAAAATGCTTTCAAAATAGTTCATCAACAAATATTTAACGAGGACCGATTACCTCTCCTGCACTATGCTAAATGTCGGATAGTGCAAAGATGAACACATGGTCCCTACCCTAATGGAGCTTAAAATTCCAAGGCACAAAGCAGAGGGATACATAGCTTCCCAGAACTGACGGCGACTGATAGGCCACTGAAGATGATGGCACTGCAGCCACTGCAATGCTAGTGATGTTAAGGGTGAACCAAACCCAGATGAAAATTTCAAATGGAAGCTGTAGGAGGACAGTAAAGGCTTCCTTCAAGCTCAACTCTTATAAGCTAATGAATAAAATTTAAAAGTGAACAGATTTGACAGAAAAACTAATTTTCAACGGAGTCCTTTAACAGCCATTCAAATGGGAATAGCAAGCTTTCTTTGAGTCTTTACAAACTACCATAAAGTATGATCTATCTGGTATAATGATTAAAGGGCTGTTGATCTGCTTTGTCACTGTAAAGGATTTTGAAAATTGCATTTGCTGCTCTTCATTATTTTCAAAAGGTAAAGAATACTGGCTCAGAATGTGTTGACTGTGGTAGAGAGTAAATACTTGCAGCATGTGTGTATTGTTCAACCGATATGTCACCACTCTAATATTACTGCCATAACTCTGAAGAAGTGAATTACATTCAACAGGTTTTCAGATTTCTTTGGGATTTTCTTTCATTATTATAATTTTATTTTGTTTTGTTTTATTTTTATTTTTTAATGTTTTTCTTTCTTTCTCTTTTTTTAAATAGACTGTCACAAATAATGTCAACTATCTTATTTTCTTAATGTTTTATTTATTTTTGAGAGAGAGAGATAGAGACAGCATGAGCAGGGGAGGGTCAGAGAGAGAAGGAGTCACAGAATCCGAAGACAGTCTCCAGGCTCTGAGCTAGCTGCCAGCGCAGAGCCTGATGTGGGGCTTGAACCCACTAACCGCGAGACCGTGACCTGAGCCAAAGTCAGACGGTTAACTGACTGAGCCACCCAGGCGCCCCTTAATGTTTATTTATTTTTGAGAAAGAGAGAGAGAAAGAGAACATGAGCAGGTAAGGGGGAGAGAGGGAAGGGGACAGAGGATCTGAAGTGGGCTCTGTGAGGACAGCCTGATGCAGGGCTCAAACTCACAAACCATGAGATCATGACCTGAGTTGAAGTCGTAGGCTTAACCAACTGAGCCACTCAGGCACCCCAGAATTTTCTAGTTCCAATATCTTTTCACTCTCTCTTTCATAATCCCCAAGCAGATCAATGGTAGCTTTTTTTCTTCACAGTTTCAAAACTACAGGAAAGGTTCAAGAATAGTACAAGGTACTCCCATACACCTAGATGTACCAGTTGGTTATAGCAATGGTTTGACTTTAGAGTGCTGATTAGAAAAGGTGCTCAAGACAAAAAACAGCTATTTACTTTCTCTATAGACCATTTTATCGAATTTCAGGGAAAATAATTGCTTTTGGAAGTCAGAGGGAAAAAAGCTGAATGGATGTCTAATTACTAAATTTGAATGGGGGCCCTGGATTACCACTACAATCCTGAACAGGTTTTATGGAGTACTAATTAACAGCACAACAACAAGGAGTTAAATTTCTTAACGCCCCCACCCGCGCTCACAGTGGATATCACTGGTCTCAGAGTTTGCTGTGGTGTCAACAATAAGACCCCAGAAATGCTTGTTGAAGTTTGCTTCAAGAACAAGCAATCAGAAATATGACTTCATCTTTTTACCAGTGATGGACTAGCAAAACTCTTCTTGGACTGACATAAAAAGCATTTCATTTTGTTTTCTAATTTCTTTTTTTTTTTTTTTTTTTAAATTTTTTTTTTTTAATGTTTTATTTATTTCTAGGAGAGAGAGAGAGAGACAGTGTGAGCAGGAGAGGGTCAGAGAGAGAAGGAGTCACCGACTCTGAAACAGGCTCCAGGCTCCGAGCCGGCAGCCAGCACAGAGCCCAACGCGGGGCTCGAACCCACGAACCGCGAGATCATGACCCAAGCGAAAATCGGACGCTTAACCGACTAAGCCACCCAGGCGCCCCTGTTTTCTAATTTCAAAATAAAATAATTTCTAAATAGCAAGATTTTAACATCCTAGGGAATCATGCATTTTTAAAAGGTCAGTCATTGGTTTTATTCCATGGATATTCCAAAAACTAGTAGTTACATAGAAAGACGTTCATTTCTGAAGACAGAGTTGTATACCCCTTCGTGAAATTTGGGATAACTGAAAAAGTTATACATTTGAGAACTGATGAAAGAAAGGACTTGAGTTCTGGATGGTGAGCTCAGCTGGACACCATTTAATTTGTTCCCTAACTCAGAATCCCCACCCCTAGGTGTAACGCTGTTGAACAATATCATTCACATCAAGGGTGATGTATCCTTGGGGCGCCTGGGTGGCTTAGTCGGTTAAGCGTCCGACTTTCGCTTAGGTCATGATCTCGTGGTTCGTGGGTTCGAGCCCCGCGTCGGGCTCTATGCTGACTGCCAGCTCAGAGCCTGGAGCCTGTTTCAGTCTGTGACTCCCTCTCTCTCTGACCCTCCCCTGCTCAAGCTATCTCTCTCTCTCCTAGAAATAAATAAAAATATTAAAAAAAAAAAAAAAAGGGTGATGTATCCTTGAGGACTCCCA